GTCTATTATATTTTATACATGAGTGGCCTAATTATTATATATAATATAAAGAAATTGGTAAATAATAAAAATAAAATATACCCCTCCCCACACACATTGCATGAAATGAATCAGCCAACTTTTTACAATTCAAAGCTTCAGCTGATTACATAAAAGTAGGCCTATATTTTTGTCTTCGTTGCCTTGGTAACGTATGTATCTGGTTTACCAGATGATTGTATCAGAGTAGTATCGATAAAAACTGTTGACTAATGTATCTGTGGCGGATCACAGAATTTAAAATATAAGGGTGCCAAGGGAGGTCCAGGCCACATCAGCCCCACTTTTGTTTGGGCTAAATATTCTTATGGCACCTCATGGCACTCCCAGACTTAAATTTGAATATGATGTTAAAAAAAATTAGGGAGAGGCCCAAAATCCGCCACTGTATATAGGAATATATAGGAAGCCTATTTGTAAGAGCTCTATACATTTACTGCCTTTGTATAAAAACTTACCGAACAGATTCAGAGGTTTGAAGCCAGCGTATGGAAAATTTGAAAGGCGACTTCTTGCACCTTGCCGATGGAGTTAAAGTCTAAACGCAAATCGAAGAATAATCCTTCCAAAAATTTTGTGTAGCCACAAGAACTCCAAGCTGATTATTCATGACTTAATTCGTCTGCATAGTAACATGTAACTCAATAAGTGTTAAGTTTGATCTAAATGCGTTTGTAATGTAACTGATTGGTAATGTTTCGATACAATTGGACAACACATGGTTTCTAGGGGGCCTATAGATTTATCTAGCCAAGCCTAGTCCCAGAGGGTGTCTCGTACGCCAATGATGTTCCTCTTAGGTTCGAACAGAAAATGCGTTGATTACTATTTGTCACGTTATGGAAACCTCAATAGGGAGCTAAATGATGTGTTCCATATGTGCTACTCGATGACTGGTGGTAATACAGTAATGTGAAGCGCACAGGAGCCTTATTATTGTCATGAAGCTCTATATTGATTCTAACATAATATTATTCGTCTCACAGATTATACTTTGTTCTCGAATCGGTCTAGGCCATGTAACTTGTTAATAGGGAGATTTCGCAACCTTACGAAAACTACAACGAATACGAATACGTCATATTTGGGTGAGCATCACCTTTATAGTCCTCCTATCTCTCCCCCACCCCCCGGGATGAACGAACAGGTCAACTATTAACCAAATTGCCTTTCATGAATAAAGTTTAGGATAATTTATTAAATATATGTTAACAGAATGTTGCTGTACTTACTCTGGCGATAGATATTAGCAATATGAACCTAAAGCATCTATTTTTAAATTATTGTTATCATTATCTTCATCTTCCTCGTCATAACTAACTCTTATCACCATTTTGCGATGATATCACCATCATTAACATGATCATCCCCATCAGCGGCGGATCAAGGAATTTAAATTTAAATCATCATTTATCATCATCATCATCATCGTCGACGTCTTCGTCGTCGTCGTCATCATCGTCGTCGTCGTCGTCATCATAATCATCATCATCACCTTCATCATCGCCATCACCATCATCATCCTCGTCCTCATCATCATCAACATCATTGTCATCATAAAGTTCAAACACATAAATTATAAAATTTGTATGTTTTACATCTTGATATTTGCTGGGCAACATATGGTCGAATTTCGGCTAAAACCACTGTCCATAATACTGCTTACAACTTTTATGTACAAACGAGACTTCATGTGATCTCATAAACGTGAATTTATCCTAAGGAGATCCTGGACTGTCTTCAGCATAAGTTGCAGGCCTTCTGGTGTCGACATCCGATGGCTGCCAGATTTTTGGAGGATCACCTGAACATCTTCACTTTCAACCTTATTTGCTAGCTCCAGTGCAGATTCATATCCCACAACATCGTCTTGCATGCCGTGGATAAACCGCAGTGGCCTCTGGATTGCCAACGATTTGCTGGCCAATATATCTCGATTTTGTTGGCCGATATAATCGAATGAGGTTTTGGTTTTTGTATTGCCATCAGCCTGAAGAAGGTTTAAGAAGGTTGCATAACTACGTAGAAGATTTATAAGGAAGTACATCGTAAACTAGGTATAATTATGTGTATTTAAGATCGTTGTATTTGTTGTAGTATCTGTATTTCTTTGTATTTTTACAAAATACAATGCTGTGGAAAACGTTAACTAGATCTCACTTCAAATACAAAATTATTAACAGAAGCTAAAATTTAATTC